GAAGGTCCAGAAAAAGTTCTGCTGGAAATTTAACTGGAATTGCATTGAATCGAGAGATGAAGCCCACTCTCCAACTCTGTTCCCCCAGGAAATAGCTCCAGAGATGTTTGTAGAATGAACGTCTGATTAATGTCTCTCCAAAGCACATCTTATCAACAAACATTCCACAGAGGTCACTGAATGAATGAGTGGGGACCAAAGATAACTAATATTAATCAGCACATTCTTACTATTCAGCAATGCCAGTAAATTTCTCCCTCACCTATTTGTTTAAAACATTATTCAAAACACACAAACCCATTACTCCATCCTCCACTGAACACGAATCTACATACGACCTATTTGGAAAGCCTCTTGAAAAACAAGTTTTAAGGAAGATTTCGTGCCCGCGGCCCAGGCAAAAAAACAAGGTCATATGACTGGTAAAGGGTCTGTGAACCCCGCGGTGAAGTGGTCCACCCAGACAGTGGTGGTTCTTTGTCGGAGCTCCTGGCGGCTTGGGGAACCAAGAAAAACTACAAATCCCGGCAGGCCGCGCGGTGCTGCTTAACTCAGCGCAATCGGGGGTGTGGCGTAGAGTTACGTTCCCTGAGAACTACCGCTACCCGGCTGCGGTGGGAAGCTGGGCACCGCAGCTTCGCTTCCCTCTGGGTGAGTAGGGGCGGCCCCTCGGAGGCAGGCGCAGAGCCCAGGCCGCCAGGGTCGCACGGCGCGTGGAGCGCTGGGGAGCCAGTGTAAACGCGCTGGCTCCCCCTTCACCCCCAGCTCGGGCAACTGCAGACACGTAGCAAGCAGCGAGGAACCCCAGCCGGTGACCTACCTTGTCACCCTGGGACGCGGGCACGTGGCTGGTGTAACTGGCAATGCCCCGCCCCCTCTGCAGTGAATCTCCAGTCGGCCTGGCTCACTAGTGAGCTGAGACGTGCACAGGCTTCTCCGGTGGCGCAGTCTGGCATGTAGGTAGAGTTGGAGCTGGAGGAGGACAGCAGATGGCTTACCCTAGGTGGTCTGTGAGCTCCAAGGCGCAGACAGCTGGGAGTGGAGCGTGGCCTGGACAAGAGCAGGGGCCGACACGGATATCCCAACCCTTCGCCTGGACAGTCTAGAGCGCTGCTTATCTCCAGCACCTGGCAGGGCCCTGCGCTGCCGGGTCGCACAATAAATGTGTGCGGATGATAGCCCGTGTATGGAGAGCAGCCTTTAGAAGAGACCTGGTACAGCTCTCCCTCCACGTTAAGTGGTGTTAACTTTCTACTGACTAGGAAGTCATTCAGTTCAGCAAGTGTTTATGGATCACCACCTCCGTGATGCTTAGCACTTCGTGGGTGCTCAAGAAATATTTGTTCCGTTGAAAGTGAATTAGAGTTTATCTGTGCCTTCACACGTTTTCTTTAAGTATTTTTTTTTCACGATGAAAGTTGGATTTTATTGTGAAACTTGTGGAGAGCTATTAAAGGATTTTAAACTGGGGGGGAGGTAATAGAAAACTTTTTCAAGTTTACTTGAGCGACATTGTGGAAAATTCTTGAAGCACTTGCTTATTGCAGTGGTTCTCATATGTTAGGGTAAATCAGAATCACCTGGAGGGCTTGTTGCACCACAGCATTCTGTCTGATTCACTAGGTCTGGGGAGCAAGAATTTGCATTTCTAACACGCTCCTAGAAGATGGAGAGCCTGCTGGTCTGGAGACATACTGCATTTTGTCCTGTATAATGCGCACTTTTTTTGGCCCAAATTTGTGAGGGAAAAATAAGGATGCACATTATATACATGGGTAGTACTAATTCCGTATCTATATAAATGTTTTTAATTCTCTTATTTATGCTTATGAGTTGAAAGTGTAATATATAAATAAATGATAAAATCCCTTTACAATAAAAAAATAAGTTCCTAAATATAAACAAAAACTTGAATTAAAAAATTAAAATGCAAAATTTTTTTCCCTCTGAAAGTTTGGGCCAAAAACGTGGGTGGGCATTATACACGGCAAAATATGGTACTTTTAAATTCTGTTTTATTGGAAAAAATCTTATGAACTTAAAGCACCAGCTCTTTACACCTAGCTATGGGCCTTTCTGTCTGTGTTAGCCAGTTAACTGTAGTTATAGTAAACATGTGCCTTTTTGTGTTAATTTCCCCCACATAATAGATTTTCATGTAGTCTGCATCTCCTAGATTACATCATATTCTATCTTATTGTGTCATTACTGGCTTGGCTATTTTTCAAGAGCCCTCACAGGTGGAAGATTGGACCTCTGCTGGGAGAGTTTGCATTTCATTTCTTTCTGATATACACATTTTCTTGTCAGACAAGGGATCTATAAGACAAGAATAGTGCCTGGTTCAGGCATCCATTCTCTCCCTCTCCCCTCTAACTTAGCTCACAGAGTAAACCCTCTGGGTTTAGATTTCCATGTCAGAGGGACTCCTGTGACCCACCTCAAGGCCCAGCAAGTCACTTGTTCTCATTCGCCCTGTGTGCTCTTGGTTGGAGAGACACACCTGTATTCAAGTTCACTCTCTCCAAGGATATTATTGGGCCTTTTTCAATCTTGGGAGCAGACCAGAAAAAATAATGCTCATTTGTCTAATAGTCTGTCTAGGAAATGGGAGGTAGGCTGTGGTTATTTTACAGGATTAATGGAATTAGAGCCCTAAATCCCTTTCCTCTGTAGCCATTCTCACCTGTGCAAGCAGGGCCAGGTGATTCCAGGCTTATTGTCTCAGAGTGTTTCATGGGGAGGGGGCTGGGGATGGATGGAATTGCAAGCCTAGCCACTTATTGGACCATGAACAGGAAGTGCTTGGCTCCCCACTTAGTTCTGTCCAGGGAATGGACATTTCATTTTTTTT